CTGATTGTATGATTTGTCTGTCTTTGGCCAGAGGAAACTACTACACACATCTGTGATAAATCTATTCTGTTTGCCTAGGTATACAATCAAGCAGCACTGATCTAAAAGAAATGTACAAGGCATAGACTCTCTCTGCTATTAAACAGAAATATTTCCTTCTTTAAATTCTGTACTAAAGGCAAAGGTCTTAATTTATGTTCTTTATTCTCAGTGTATGTTTAATTTAACACTTCTTACTCCATTTATATTTCATGTACCAGTACAAACTTAATCTCCTAAATTTCCTTCTAAAGATAACAGTAGTGTGTTAGCAATGTTATTTCATTTTTTTTAACCTGTTAATTTAGTTGCTGTAAGGCTTAAGCTAAACTGTTGTTTAAGTGGTTTGCTGGATTGGCGCCTAAATCCTGTCTGCCAGTCCAGACAGAAGATCTAAGTCATTCTATCAACAGATGGAGACAGAATAAAAGACAAAGCTCTTGTAAGATCACTTCTCTACAAAAGAGACTGGATAGCTCACTGTGATCAGTCAAAGATTTCCCAAGCAATCACATTACAGAGGAACACTTGCTTCATTATGGCTAACTGTGAATAATGCTTTCTTTTTACAGCATGAGGATTTAAGTGCTCCAAAATTCAAATGCTTACACAAACTATCTTGAAATTGCTTCAGCTCATCTTCAGCAATTCCTACTCCTCCGGGAAAGCAATATTAAAAAAAAACAATAGAGACATGTTTGCCTCTCTACTCTAAAATAGATGGACTCTTTAAGAAAGAGGGTTTCTACAGCACACATTAATACAGTTCAGTGTTTTAAAAGAAATAAAAAATTGGTTCCATTTATGTGAACACCTTTCCTACAAACTAAGTTTAAGAAATTATTCCACAAGATTCAGCTATCCCTGAAATCAAGACTATAACCTGAAAGCACACTGGATAAGGAAAAGAATAACACTGCAGTCATTTAATACTAACAGCTACATTTTGAAATCAGTATCTTCAGAATTATATGTAGGCATGATGATACTATCTGCCTATGTGAATATGGCTGTCCGAGATTGCTATCCTCAGAAAAAGTTTTGTAAGTCTATCCTGTCTGTGCTTTTTCCCCTAAAATGTAAATCCACAGGATGAATCCAAGAAACCTCAACAAAGACAGTTATGCAAGTTCTGTAGGAAACAAAAGCAGATGAATAGAAAAGACACTGAAGCAAAAGATGTGGTAATCTGAACACTTAGCAGAAAGAAACGGCACATATGTGAGATGAAGCATCAGGCCATGTCGAAGTCTGAACTGTCTAAAAAAACCAACCAAAAATAAAACCACCAGTATCAACCATTTTAGGAACCTATGTGAGGAGGAAAGCCAATTGCTGTACTGCTGACATTCACAGAACTATCTGTACTTTTGGGAAACATCCTGATAAGTTAAACACCTTAACTGGAACTCTCATTACTTTCAGAAAAAGAATACACTGAAAACGAACATGAACAAGAACGCCTGGTGGGCAGGCTTATCTTTAGGGAGTATGTACAATTCATGACTGTGTGAGATTAGAAAGTCTCTTTATGTATCTTTACCATGCTGCCAACTTCATTTTAGTTACAGAGACTTTTGCTACTTGGTTTTCATTTTACTTTCACGTAGGGCTGAAACTTAAGCAGCAATATCTTGTTAAGAACTATGCAGTTAAAATGTAATCGACCTACTCTAAAAAAATAAGTTACCTACTATTGAAGGGAACTGGCTTGTCACGAGAGTGGTTGCCTTGGAAACAAAGTCAATTGGCAGAAATCTGATCATCTGATAAGGAACCCGTCAAGAAATCAACTGAGAGGTTCTGATGATTACAGAGGAAAAAAGAACTTGGCAACTGGATCATCTCTATCCCTCTCATACAAGGGACACTGCTTTCTTGGACATACACAGACTACGAGGACTTCCAAAAGGAAGGTGAGCCAGCAGCGCAGTAGTGTGTGCAGTATTTTTCCCTGGTGAAAGAATGCATAATTAAGCGAAAGCAGCATTTATTCACAAACTCTGCATGTTTAGATGTTTACCTGTTTGTTCTTGCCATGAATCTCTTCTAATGATAAAGCTGCAAAGTCTCACCTTCAGTGGTATTCCAGAGATTTTTATTTATTTATTAGGATTATTCCACTACATTTCTAAGAACTGCATCCCAGAGGCAAAGAATAGGGCTAGTTCTCTCCAGAGATGCTCTCTCCAAGGAACTGAGACTATCCCATATAAACCAGAATCTGAACAAAGTCCTACAAAGGAAGGACGGTGCATAGTATGACTTGAGTAAATGCTGTGAGGAAGCCACACACAGTAGACACTAGCTAGTGTCTGGAAAGACATTGATTTTCCATTTTTAAACAAGAAAATGAATTATCAACTTTGTGATCCGGAAGATAACAAGATTCTGCAGAGTACCCTTAACTTTGTATTTATAGATATCTTTTGTTGGAAAATTCTACATGACTGCTTAAGGCAACTTCTTTGGGATGCAAGTGGTTCACAGCATCAGAAGAACCAAACTGGTTTCCATTGACAGAAATAGAAGGAACATTAGGCTTAATATCCAAGGACTTCATGTAGCCTGACTAACAAAACACCGTTTTCTCACAGTCACCTCCACACAGAATTTTCCAAACAGTAGAAAACTCAAACATCAGCAACATTTAAACCAGAAAAGGTAACTTGGAAGATAGCTTAGAAAAACACACAGCACACCACCTCACACTCGCATAAACTACAATACTACTGAAACTTATAGAATGTACATTTACACACAACTTATAAAATTACTAAACAGAACATGGTCTGGTTAGCCCAAAAGCTTGTTTTCAACTGACTCTTTTTAATGTACGAGAAGATGACATAAAACTGGTAAGTACAGACACTCACAAAAAAGCTCTTCAGGAGTTTCTTCCTGATAAGAGGCCTTAGTCTGTGCTGCTGCCACGTGAAAGTTTATCATCTATGTGCTCCTGATACAACATTGGCCTCATTGCTAACTTCTAGTAGCATTTTCTAAAGTAAAGTAATATTCAGATGGAGGGTGGGATTCAGTTAATTTTTAAATAAATTTCTAAGGCTTATGAGAGCTTATGGCCTCTCAATTTCCTTTTATTTCTTTGATACTTGTTTTCTTAAGTCAGAAAATTGTAATTATTAGCATACAATTTCTACACATCTATATCTGCAGAGCATTTTCTACATCTATGGAACCACAATTCTAATCTTTGAAGTTCCTTCCTTGTAAGCAATCTAAGCCCCTCATAGTTTCATTGTTTGTCTGCAGAGCTATTTTACTTTTGTCTTTATTTTATAAGGTAAACAAAACCAGCTGTACTTAATCTAAAAGCACACTAGTCATTTATGGAACAAAAATATATAAAAGCCATAATAGGTCACGCTGAAAGTCCGCCTTGCTCAGTGTCTTTTACAGTAGCCGAAATCTTGTTAGATGCCCCTCTAGAGGGTGCTGTTGGGGTTCCCTGCCTGCAGTTCTTCTATTTCTGCCTTCATGTTTTTCACCTTGATGCATTCCCTCTATAACTTTTTTCTTCCATTTTCCCTCAACAGTCACTCAATTTCTCCCCAATATACTTTCCTTCATTCCACTCCCTTCAAGCCCTCACAAACTTCTTTTCTTTTAGTTAACTGAAAACACAAGAACATGACTCAATTTTTTTCAAAATCCATTTCGCATCCTTGATATATTGATGTTCTCAGGTCTTCAAACATCTAGAAGAGCAATGTCTAACTTTTCACAAGGCTCCAAAAACAGCCTAGGCACTGCAACAAGTAAAAGCTGTTTATGTATAAATACAAGCACTGAACATCTGATTTTTACAAACGTAAGTTACATGCATTGGGAAGCCAGACACGATGTATCTACAACCAAAAATCAAGACATTTCACTAAGTGTTAAGAAGAACAAATTTAGAGCAATGCTAAGCAGAACCTGGGAGCCTGTTCAGCCAAGCCAGATGTATCAAAAGGACTATTAGGCACAAAGGTGTTCTTTCAGACTAGATCAGAGCTCAGTTCCTTCAAATCGTGGGTAATCCTGAAATAGAGGTGCCATTTAGAAAGACTTCTTTGAGATGTTATTTACGTGCATACTCAGAATGTGACTGCATTTACACTGCAATCTGGGTTTCTTTTCAATGCTAGCAGTACCCAGGATGGCATCGCTTCTATTGATAAGGATAATTTGGTTATTTGAGCAGTTGTATATTTTCCTTTCAACCAAAAATTCTCAAATTCTATATGGACTACCAAGGAAAAAGCTGCAAGAATGTGTTGTATAAGTATATACAATCAATAAGTCTCTAAAAATAACAGTCACAGGTGAACAACTAGGTTTTCCTATTTGAGGGCCTGCCATGGGGAAGGAAGAAGAGCTGTTGTCACTCAACCAATGAGGGTGTCACAATGCACCATACCTTCAGGTATATATATACATTGATAGGACCTCTTCTGAGGTCTCTCTTCTCCAGGTTAAACACTTCCAGCTCTCTCAGACTTTCCTCATAAGGAGGACTCCCTTCATCATCATAGTAGCTGGACTCTCTCCAGCTGCTCCATCTCTATTGCACTGGAGAGTCCAGAACTGGACTCACCACTCCAGATGTGGTAGAGGTTTTCAACACACAAATGAACAGGGTGTTAGATAATCTCCTCTAGGCTTCCTTTTCCACAGAAGACTGCACCAGATGATCTTTTGAGGTGCCTTTCCAACCTGAGCTGTTCCATGAACTTGGTGTCCTCAGGACTCCAGGTCTTTTTCCGTAAAGCTGCCTCCCAGCTGGACAGCCCCCAGTATAAACAGGTGTCTGGACCTGTTTCTTCCCAGGTGCAAGACTTTGCACTCACCTTTGTTAAACTGTATGAGGTTCCTGTCAACCCATTTCTCCAGCCTGTCGAGGTCTCTCTGGATGGCTGCACAACCCTCTGGTGCATCAGCCAATGGATTGCTTATATACTGACTATATAATGACCAGTTATCATTTTTCTAAATTATTCAGAACTGTGGTCTCATGAACTGCCCCATCAGATCTCCTGGGAGGACCACTGGGGAGTATGATGCAAAGATACCTAAGGCTCTAAATCAAGTTTACTGGGGCACAGCCAGACTCAGCAGCTTCATTTGAAAAAGAAGGATGGCAGCTCCAGCGAAAGTTAAGAGAAACTAAGGGTGATCCTGGGAATCAGGGCAAGAAGGATGATGCAGCAGACCCTGAGTCAGCTGTTAGGGACAAAGTGGTACAAGAACCACAAGGCAAAGGGGAGTCAGATGTGAAGCTGGAGCAAGTGAGAGAGACTGTGACTGATGTTCAGCTACACAATGCTTAGGAGCCACTGCTTTAGAATACAAGCCCCTCTGCTACTGTGATTCTCCCACCCTAAGTGTTTAGTGATCAGGAAACAAGAGTTCTAACTCAAAACCATAGTTACTGATTTTAATCACAAGACATTGTTCTGCAGACTTTGAAGTGTAAACAACATTTTAGTATTTTCTGACAAAGCAACCAAAAGAAATTGCTTTTAGCTTTTGCCAAAATGAGAAAAAATACAGTATTTTGCTTTATCATTCACTCTCCTAGAAATTAGTTTTTCCATATGCCAATTAACATTTGCATCTTTCATTAATCCATTTATTCCTATTTAATTATACTATCCAGACCTTTTATGCTGAAAAAACGACATCAGAATTTTAGTTCTCTGTACTGCCTTTCATTGGTTGAATAGTAAGGAATGTTTTTGTGGTTTTTGTTTTGTTTTAAACGAGGTGATTTCTTCCTGACCCATAACTTAGCACCTGAAAGGCACTGTATCTTTTTAAATGAAGAACTGACCCTCAGTGAGCCATTTAAGACAATGTGTCCCTATTTTGCTCAACTTTCACTGAACTTTTCTTTCTATGATGTCATCTCGGGGACAAACAAGACCAATACAAACACAATGTGGAAGTAAGTAATAGGTGTGCCTCAAAAATAAGCATTAGTATAACATCTCAGTTCTCAAGACTATATTCCTTTTAGAAAATGTAATTAAAACATAGTAAATTATTTGCAGACAGCTAAAAGAAATATAAATTAAAGTATTAAGCCAATTACACAAACCTCTAGTCAGTCTTGTTTCTCAGCTACAAAGATTTTCAAAAGCATAGAAATAATTGAAAAACTAGTAAAATAGATACCCTGAAATTATTTCTGGAATTGTAGAGGATTTCATCATAAGTAATACCACCAAAAAAGACAAAAACAAAGGGAATGAAAACTATAACTGATACCACTGATATGAGAAAGGATAAATAGTAGAAAGGCAACATAATTTGCAAAAATATGTTGACAGATAGGTCAACTACACTCTGTCTCATCCTGAAGATGAGCAAATAACAATTCCTCTATAAACACAATCATGGGCATAGTCCATTACTTATGACAGCTCCAGCAATAAAAAGAAAATAGTACTCTATTTATACAGACTGTTGATGAAGAACTTCATGCACATGTTAAATAATATGGCCTAAAAGAATAATAGAGGTTGGTGAAAAACCTATATCTTTACCCTTGTTATTCTTCAGTCTTAGCATCTTCTGCTTAATACAGAAAATATGAACAGCATCTATTTGTGGCAGGGTATCTACAAGAAAGCATATAACTGCCAGCCTAATTCTAACCATTAAAAAACACCCAAAATACTAGCCTATTTTTGAGTCTGAAAACCACAGCATCATCATCTTCATAACTTGAATCCTGCATAAACATTTTCATTCTAAACAAAAAATCCCAACTAAATCCATTGTTACTATAGTCCTACCTAGACTGAATTGGCATTCCTTCTTTACCCCTTACATGGCACACTTTCTCATTCTGGAATTACCATTCAACTGGTAACGAGGACTCTCAAGACCTAGATCTCCAAAATCTAGAGACCAATTACCTTATCCTGAAACTAATGACTAGAGTGAAAAGACTCCCTTTGGAGTAGGCAGTAAAAATGAGCCTACACTCCACTCTTTCACAAGTGAAGAGACCAGAGATAACAGCTACCTGTTGCTCTTTTCTTCAGAAGTCTAAAGTTCTGATAAAAATAATTCTTCATTCCTAATTCTCTCTCAGTATCCCTAACCCTATACAAAACCAGGCATCTTCCTGGAAGGGCAGATGTCATACTTTCTTTGGAAAACACTCTAGAAAGCTCTACTTCTGAAAGTCTTCCCACCACTCAAGTGTTTCTTTCTTAAACTAGTGGTCTCAAGAGCTAGGGGAACTGAGGCAGAAATTAAGAAAGATTAGTTAGGAGATAAATTTCCTGTTTCCATGTCTTTATGACAGCTCCAGGAGTTGTGAATATACATAATGAGAAAAGACAAATCCTGAATGAAATCTGAAGAATCTGCAGCAATATCAGCTAAACCATGCAACAAACTAATATTCACACTATGTCATTCACTTCAAAAATTCATCCAAAGCAAAACAGAACAGGTGCTCCCTTCAGGGAGAACAAAAAAAAAAAATCTATCTCCTCTGTAGGAATCCTTTTCTTAGAGGAGAAAAGGAATGAATATTTTGGGCACAGATGTGAAGCTAGTTTAAGCAACCAGACAGAAGTGATTTCCAGTATTCACTTGTCCCCTGCTTTTATCATTTTCTATTGAAGCATTCCAAAACTCCAAAAAGCGCAAGACAGAAACTAGTCTTACGGAAGTAGCTGATGAATACTTCTCAAGGATTCTGTCAAACAGGCATTTTGTAACAACAGCAATGATGACAGAAAACAAGGCAGAGTATTTCTTCTTTACAGCACCTTCTAATCCTTTTGTAGCTATTTACAGAAATCACTTATTAAAAAAAGTGTAGAGCAGGCCACTTGGCAATCAACTGTTTGCCTCCAAGCTCTTCCTCATTGAAGAATTATATCTAAGCTTTCAGAATATTGAGAAAGTGGAGGAAGAGAAAAAAAAAATTCATCTTTTCTTACCAGGGAAACTGTTGCTCTTTATCAGCAAATCTGCCATCCCTGGTGACACTTCTGTTGAAATATATGAATGCAGAAAACATTTTAGAAGTTTCATTTCTGTAGCAATCACAATAGATGGCAATGCATAATGGCTGGATGAAGATGTAAACAAAACTTAGCTTCCTTATTATTGTCAGAAATTGCTCTTTTCTTTCCTGAGGCAACATGTCAATAAATTCAAACTGCTTCAATTAATATACCTATTCTATTATAACTAGATGGTTACATGAAAAACAGAATTGCAAACAAAGTGACAAATAACTCTTCCCCTCAAAAGGTCCTTCTCTCTTTTTTCTCTGCAGAATTTTTATAAAACAGTAGTGATTTCATTAGTACTGTTCATTCTTTTCATCAGTCCTTGGGACACTTGAGGTGGAAAGTAAGCAAGACTCTTGCTGAATAAAATACTTGGCCTCTGCTCTTTGTGAAATAAATGTAGTAGCATTAATGTCAGGAATCTGTCATGTTATTTTGGCATGCCCTACAGTTTCATCGTTAACAGAAACGTAGTTTTATTAGCAAAGTTATTTTGGTACATATATAGGAACTGTGGGGAAAGGGGAGTAAAGAGTCTCATGCAACTTCTCCTGTACGAAGTGTACTATTTCTATAATCCTCTTGCTTAATTCCTGCAAGCGTTTTAAATCACTGGGATACAGAATTGAGGCTGACACAGCTGCTTCATATGGAGAATGACAGGACTCCAGGTACTAAAAGTTTTCACATTCCTTTAAGCCCTCATCCTCTTATCCCTGAATATAATGTACTTTAAATGGAAAACATCTTCTAACTTCATATAAGATGCCTCAATTATTTATGACATAGAAGCAGGTGCAATCTAATCTTAGCAATCATCTAATACCTGTAAACAGAAAGAGAGAAAGAATTCCAAGACTCTGTTACTGCAATGACCCCTCCGTGGTACTGGAACCTTTTCTACACAACTCCTGTCAAGACTGAACTCAATGAACTATATTGAAGGATAGATTTGTGATATCTTTCCACTGCTTTTTCAGATTAAGAATGACATCTCCCAACTTAGAAAAGGTCTGCCTGACTCATCATATGTGAATACTGAACGAATGTGTTTACTGGCATAAGTCTTAGCAATGAGTTAGAATGTATGAGAGCAGTTGATACTACCTGAAGTCATTCCATCAATGGTGGCACGAACTGCTTGGGCTGATACAGATGAGGGGTCTCTGTCCTTTACTAGTGGGAAAGCATTTTGTATTCTTTTTGTGCATATAGCAGCATCACAGGTGTGGCTGGTACTCTAAGCTGTATAAGCACCTAAATGATCCTTGGTGCAAGGGTATGAAGCAGCACAGGCAGCACCTCTTCAGCAGCATTGACAAAAATCACCTGTCTCAAGTACACAGAAAGCATGCACAACCCAGAGGAGAAGGTAAAGATGCACTATTCAAAAATACAGAGATTGCATTCAACACAGAAAGAAAGAGGAATATTATGCCACTCTTCTATTTCGGCAAAAACCAGTCAGAAGAAGATTGGAAAACATTTTTCTGCCTTATCTTAAGGTCAGTAATTTGAGATCTAATTTAAGTGATGGGTTAGATTCAACTACCTCTAGTATTATTCTCCCTAGATCAAATGTGGATATGACAAGCTAGATGCATTAACATTCCATCTTTTATGGTTAGAATCATTAATATCTTAGCTATCACGTTAGGAGTCAGAAAAGTAAGTACCAGGTCATAAAGAAATTAAGCCAGCAGAGCTTAAGCAAAATGAACCTTGATAATCTAGTCTTCAAATATGCATAATGATATTTGAAGAATATAAAATTGAAAAGATGTTCTTTTCCTCTTTCAACTTTTCATATTTTCTAAAACTCCTCTTACACTGAGAAACCAAACTGAAAATGTCCTATATGAATTTATGTTGCAATGAGCAATCTTTTTGGTAATGGGCTTTTTTTTGGCCTCTTCCTAAGCATATTTCAATAGAGAAGCCAGTCATTCTCGGAAATTATCAAGGTAAAAAATTACATTCTGTGGTTCAGGCTACTAGAAAACTGAATTATTATGGCACACAGCACCCTATGAATGGGTGAGTGTGAAAAGCATCAGTAACAAAAACCTGCGGAGCTCTCAAGCTTGTAAAGGATAAGCAATACTATTTTGAACAGTTAACAAGGATGAATATTGAGTTAACTGTTCAATCATACCCTCAAGTTTCAAAATTGCGACTTAGAAGAAAGGTCATTCTTTCCAATTAGTAAAAATATCAGCAGACCTCTTCTTATTAGAGACACTTGGACATCATTAACTAATTACCCATTTTAATTTCAATACTAAAGTACTTTCCACCACAGCTTTACTAAATAAAAGACAAATTACAGTAACTTCTGTAGTATGATAATCCATACAGTCTTTACCTAAAAAAGTCCTTTGGGACACTGATTTTAATGGGAGAAAAGTATTTTGCATTGAAGCATTCTCCTTCATGCTTTACTTTCATTCACCCATAATTTTTAATCACTGGGCTTATTTTCTTCTTTTCTCTCCCTCCATACTCACGAAAACTTTCCTTTGCGCCCACAAGTCTCCAGTCTTTCCAAATCTTTTTTTTCTTTTCTTTTTTAAATCCTCCTTTCAGTTTAATGTAAGAGTGCTACAATAGCTCTGCTATGTATCATTTGCTGCAACAGCCTCAATGGAGAATATTCTCTATTCTGTAACTATCATCAAGTTAGTAAAGGAAAGGTGTTTCATTTTATAAAATTAAGAACATATTCCTTAATATCAAACATTTGTAAGAATATCCACAGAAATAATTTCTTCCTGCGCATAAAAAGAAGATATCTACTAGCAAACATTTACACTAAATAGTGATCAAGTGTTGATGTTTTGAAAAGAAAGTGTTATTCATTCTTTGTTGTAGAGATTACCAGATCTGAATGTTATTAGCACAATGCAGTAGTTCATCCAACTACTAATGCAACTGATACAGAGCCATTCCTACCTGTGCAAGAATTCAGATTTGAATAAAAAAAAATTTACTTCACTGTGAATTACAGAACGCACATAATAATCTAGGTTCAATAAAAACAGACTGCATGCACAGAAGTCTCATTAATCTCTTACAGCTGTTTTGTCATTAAAAAAAAATTAACTAATAATTCAAAGTCACAAAAAAATTCTGCCTCTATTGTCAATGAATTCAAGCCTGGGTTTTTGTGTACAAACATCTATTTCCCCAATACCAGAACTGAAAACATGTCTCTACTCATCTGTGAGGCTAAGAAAAGAATGTACAGCATCCCAAACCAAGAGGCTTGAACTGTAAACACAAGCACACTGAGTTTAAGCTTGAATATCCTGTATGCAATTATTAGAAGACCTAGTTTTGAAATGTTAATGATCAAACAAAATTCAATTTATTTCACATCAAGCAACTTCCTACCAACAATTTTTGGACAAATTTGTCTTTTGAGTGTAGAAACGTCCTAAAAACAGAAGTGTAAAGATTTTTTTTCCTAAGACTCTAAACATTGTTTTGTTTTAATGCATAAATAGTGCTACCTTCAAATTCCATCAATTTTAAACATTTCGATACTTGTACAATTGAATATGAAGAGTGTTGTGTGGAAGGTGCACATTACCATACCTGCACAATACCAACCCTTCTTCTCTCAGTTGAAATAAAAAATTTCCTGATGTCTCTTTTAGGAAGTCTTCCCTCTCCAGTCTGCCGATACGCTCACTACAAATTAATTGTCTACTTTCATCATTAAATGATGTGTATGACCTTTGCTTTGCTAAGCAGTTATTACTTCTGCAAAGATTACTCATCATAGCTGGTTCTTTGGAATCTAGTTTCTTTTCATCTGAAACAGCCAAAGATAATACATTTTGTAGGAGTGTTCTTACACAATACATACACACAGCGAGCTCTAAATGTATTACTGTTTGTCACATTATCAAAATTTGCTTGTATCAACTTAAAAGGCAAGAAAGCTTAAAACTATTTAGAGCAAAGTAGTCAAAGTCTTCTTATTAACATAATTTCCTAAAGTCTTTCAGTTTTGCTTTTTTAACATTTTAATCTTTATCTATTTTTTTCTTTCCCTTTTACAGATAGGTGGATTATACCTTCTGAAAAAGTTATTATATTTCAGGGTCTAAATATTATGACAGAACTCAAGCAAAAAGTAGCTGTTAATCTTGTACCTTGGTATGTACATGTAATAAGAACCTGTACAAAAAATTTACATGAAGATCTGCACAATCCTCAAAGGGGAGAAGAGGCAAACTCAGGCTATAACTACATTAGGTTCCCAACTTCTCCAATTAGTAGTATCAACTTATTAAAGCTAATGGATTAAACTACATATAGGGCTAGATGATGTAACTATATATATATATACACACACACATACACACACACATATTTTTTCAGTTTATCATGTAAAGTAAGAATCCCAGGCAATGTAAGAATTGTGATTATTACAAATCAGTCTTCATTAAAGACAGTTCTAGCACGTTTTATTATGAGTCAATATGCAGAATACCAAGATGTCCCATCTGCAAGAAAATGACTTATAAATCCCATGTTTAGTGACCTTTATTAAGTCTCAACTAATAAAACTCTTAACAACAAAAATGATGTAGTTGGAGGCCTGTCAAGACATATCATTCATTTTTACTCCTCCTTTTATGCTCAGTAAACCATCAGGGAATCTCCTTCGATGACGCCATCTCATTATCTCTTCACACATTTCAGCATTTGTTAATTTTACCCACTGAAGAAAACTTAACAGTAAAAATGCCAGAAATACTTAGAAACCTATAGGAAAAAAAGGCACCTGAGTAGCTTTAAATTCACTTTCAGAAGTGAAAGCCTGTATCATTTTTGAAAATCACATTTTCAAAACTGCCTTAAAGCCATTTAAATATTTTTAACATTTACTCTGAAAGGACACGCAAGGCCTTTAATACAATAATTCATGTATTTAATGATATTAAAACCCATAATGCAGTTATTTTTCTATAAAATAATAAGTATCAAAACATTCTTACTCTGATCAGGGGGAGTCATTTTAGCAGAAAGGAAATTTCCCTGAGAAGTTCTTCTGTATAAGAGTGCCCGAGCACTGCTGACTTTTCTAACCTCTGCAGCATCAGCAGAAGGCTTTGGGAGAGAAAAGGAAGAATCTTCATCTTTTGCAAAAGTGACTAGTATTGGTTTCTGTGACAAAGATAAAAAAGATGTTTCAATAAAAGCACAAATAATTTCATTTTCATCTAAGCAAAAAATTTAAAAAATAGAAAACCAAATTATTTATACAAAGGGTTAAATTCAGAATAGATAAAAGTGACATTGGCTTACTCATTAAGAAATTTTCATCTTCATATCTAGAATCCAATGATATCATTCCACTGAACGAGACAGATAGCTACACCATCATTACCACAGAAAGCCATTTAAAAGCAAACATACAAGGGTACAGAAAACAAACCAAAACTAGTCCAAGCAGAGCAACTAAAACTCAGAATTATTTATTTCCCTCATAAATACTCACTTAACTTTTTCTGCAGTATGCTTATTTATAAAAAAGAAATGTTGTGACAAAGACTCGTGCTATCAATACTAGGGGCACATCCATCCTTTGATTTGGCTTTGAGCACTGAAGTAGTATTTCAAAACCAGTTCAAACGTGTTCATATCACATGTACCACTTCCTAGCACACTGAGACAAATCATGCAAATCCAGAAACATGCAAGCTCCAGTTCTGTTTATGTCAGTATCTTGGATCTTAGGGGATGTGACCAACACCCCCAGCTTCTGGTACAAAACACTTGTGCCCTACATAAATGCACTGCCCTCTAACATCAAGGTTTTCTCCAACTTCCTTACAATAAAGAATCCATTAGAAAGTCTCCAGTCTGCTCCTTCACAGCTCTCCCCGGTGTTAGCTGAAGATAGCCAAGAGATGAGAACTACTCCCCACAACCACCATGACTAACACAAGCTCTGCATTTACAGTATGCTAACTGTAAATAGTAAAGCAGAAAAGACAGTTTGTGCATTGGTCTTAACAGATTTTTCTTAGGTTTTTCCCACTCTCACACACAAGATAAATGAAAATTTAACATCAGTACTTAAATGCAATTGTAGATATATTTAATAAAAATATGTTCAGAATTTTTAAATTTGATTCATATAAATACATAACCTTATCAAAATAGATGAGGTATAACATTGCTCTGAATTTTTTCCCCCTAATTTCCTAAAGAATTCTACATTTAGACTACTGTCATGAAGAAACAATATATACAGCAAGCATACTTAACTGTTTTAGCATGCTCTGTTCTCTCAGGTACTAAAAAAATGATGATGACTTAATCTTATCATGAATGTTTAAATATAAAAAACCTGAAAGAGCAGATATACCTATAAATTGAAAATAATTCAAAATTTTCACAAAGGGGAGAAAAGGAGTTCTTACAAGTGTCTCTATCTGTTTTTTAAATAAACTGCGATCATTACATTTTATAGATGCGTAAGTCAAATAGAAAGCACAAACAACCTAGCTACTTTCAAGTTATTGATCACAGAACCACAGAATGGTTACGGTTGGAAGGAACATCTGGAGGTCATCTTGCCCAGCCCCCTGCTCAAGCAGGGCCACCTAGAGATGGTTGCTCAGGACCATATCCAGGAAGATTCTGAAGATCTCCAAGGATGGAGGCTCCACAACCTCTCTGGGCAGCCTGTGGCAAGGCTTAGTCACCCTCACAGTGGAAAAAGCATTCCCTGATGTTCAGAGGGAACCTCCTCTGTTTCAGCTTGTGCCCTCTTCCTCTGGTCCTGTCACTGAAAAGAGCCTGGAACTGTCCTCTTTGCACTCTCCCTTCAAGTATTTATATACACTGATATGATCCCCCTGAGACTCCTCTTCTCCAGGCTGCACAGTCTCAGCTCTCTCAGCCTTTCCCCATAGAGGAGGTGCTCCAGTCCCTTCATAATCCTAGTGGCCCTTCTTCAGGTTCTTTCCAGTTCCTTGATGTGTGTCTCCTGTACTGAGGAACCCAGAATGGGAGCCAGCACTCCAGGTATGGCCCTACCAGTGCTAAGTAAAGGGGAAGGATCACTTCCCTCAACCTGTTGGCAACACTCCTCCAAATGCAGCCCAGGATACCATTAGCCATACTCTTATCGGCAAGGGCACATTGCTGGCCCATGTTGATGCTCATGACCTTTTTCTATTTTAGTAATCTTACACAAGAAAGATGACTCAAGTATCTGTCTTCTGATTTTTGTTAATGTCATTTAGAATTATGATGCAATATAGCAACGTTTAAATAGTTTAAATTATTTTCAGGTTTATTCTGGGGAAAAAAAGACAAAACTGACTTTATAAGTCTCAGACTGACATTATATTTCATTTCTCCCCAACCTATTTAAACCGTATCTTTTCCCACCACTACTGATACACATATTTTTATGACAGTATTGCACATACTTATTTCCAGAGTACTCACTTGATCCAGTGGGCTAAGACGAACGCTAGACACTGGTCTTGATTCAGCCAAATCAAAACTGGATGCATGAAGACTAGTACAAAGAAATTAAACATAATATGAATAAAGCTGCCATAAAAACAGTGTGGACACTGACTTATTTATATGGCCATTCAAAGATGTTTTAGCATTCTTTCTGGCATGTCTGACACTTAACATTACAGATACAGCCCATATCTCCTCCCAACAATCATTATGGAATTGGCATATAAGGAGAGCTAAACAAATTACTGGGAAAATAGAAGTAAAAATCCCAATACACATTTTTTTTCTCTTTTGTCACAAGAGACAGACCTACTGAGCTCTGTGGATTATGGTATGTAAGAAAACTCCATAGACAAATAATTTTGACGTAGTATAAATTTTGTTTAAAAATGAGCATTTCAAACTTCAAGACCTACAGTTTTATATTTAAAAACATCTGAGAAAGCTCTGAAAAATGATCGAGTATACAGTTTATGTGGAAATAAGCAAGCTTTCACAGTTTCTAGGGAAAAGCTGACGACCATCTCAATTAAAAGTATACACTGTCTTAAGAAAGAGGTGGGTTATACACCATTTTCCTATACTATTCTCCACATACAAAACTAGTGTAATGACTGCCTCTGGTAGCATTAATCCACAGGAACTTCCTGGATGTGTAGATTAACATCAACAGTAAGGATCATTAGAAGAAGGCAAAGGATGTGATTAGGAATACAGATTAACATAGGGAAAAAAGTCATTGGAAACATAATTACAGAATGAAATCTCTTGCTCCTAAAGGATATTTGAAAAAAATCTTAAAGCTACAGTACCTAAAAACTGAAGGGGGTCTATTCTGAGGAGCCCATGAGGATCCAGACCCAAAAAGTTTCCTTTGATGCTCTGTAGGTGTAAATGGTCTCCGAGTTCGTAGCGTTCGTAGAGCATTTCTGGCTTCATTTATAATCTCAGAACTGGTCTTCTGCTTCGGCACTGAAAGCCTGTAGAATGGTTCTGCTTTTTTTGTATTTTCATTCTTTGAAGCTCGCATTCCTCTGCAAGATAGAGCACAGAAAGAACACTGTACAATAAATTTGGAAGGCACAGAATATAATGCTAGTTTTAAATTACAAACTATTAATTCATCAATGTTTAAGCTGCCACAATGCAGTTTAAAAGGATAACAGCTGCATCCACAACTTCCCTGGGCAACCTGTTCCAGTGTCTCACCACCCTCAGAGTGAAGAATTTCTTCCTAACATCTAGTCTACATCTGCCCTCTTCCAGCTTAAAACCATTACCTCTCGTTCTATCGCTACCTGCCCTTGTAAAAAGTCCCTCCCCAGCTTTCCTGTAAGATCCCTTCAGGAACTAGAAGGCTGCAATAAGGTCCCCCCAGAGCCTTCTCTTCTTCAGGCTGAACAGCCCCAACTCTTTCAGTCAGTCCTCACAGGGAAGGGGCTCCAGCCCTCTGATCAGTGCAGATCCTGGTGCAGTTCCCTGTAGATATTATCCGTAATCTAATATCTTACATTTAACCTCTGAAGGACACCATTTTCTTTAGTTCTTAAAATCTCTGTGCTCTGACACTGAAATCTGTATTTTATGGGATTTACATATATGTTCTTCATAGTTAAACAAAGAAGCAACCTGAGAGATATGATGTGTTTCTGTGGAACAGCACCATCTATACAATCAGCTTAAGTTTTTGTTAATTCTATTGTCAACTGCAAATTGTCTATCCTAGAAGTACATGTATTTGTCCTGGTTTCATTACAGTAATTTTTTGTTGAAGCCTTCAATCATCTCTTAAGTATTTCTTTTTAACTGGCAAAGGAACTTTTCTACTATAAGCTTAATTAGTAAGTCCTACTATTTGGGCACTGTTAGTCACCCTTTCAATCCATTAAAAACAAAGTTTTAATAATTAACATTGCAATGAGAACCTGTGACTTAGTTTGACTGCATGACTGAGCTCAGTGCTGCACTGCTACTCCAGTGGAGAGGGGCAAGCATGGCCTCTCCCTGCCGCTGGAGCAGCAGGCGGCAGTCCCCACTTCCAGGTGCAGAGGCAGAGAGCAGAGCGAGCCAGGAGCTGTCACGGCTGGGCAGAAGTGAGGAGAACTTATGATCGATCACTAACCTGATGAGAGCATTAACACTTCATCATTTTGGCGGAAGGTAGTATTACACACATTCAGAATTGTGGTAGTGATATGATACCAATATATTATTACCTGATATCTCATAATTTTTAGCCAGAAAATGTCATAGAACACAGAGAAATAGGTAAGCAGTGCCAAAAATGAGAGAGAGGTGTGTGTGTATATAAATATATATATATGGGATATATAGGATAATGCTTTCTTGTAAGCATTCAAGAACCACGAGTAATTATTTATCTGAATTAGTTTGGCTGCTGAGCCATCAGAGTACAACCACTGTCTCTTTCTCAAAAGACAGATAGAGAAAGACGATTTGTACTCTATTTTATAATGCCTAAGACTGAAACATTTAAGCATCAAGCAATTGCTCTGCTGCAGCAGCACTCAAGAAAGAAGCTTCATCTGCTCTTGTGTCCCACACCCCAGAAGCTTTGGGGAAGCACCTTCAGCTATATTACGGCAGCTCTCTTCCTAGAAGATTACTACCTAGATCTGTGCATAGGGAAAAGCCCTCCTAATCATCAGAAGCTTTCTTGACTTTGATGAGCATCAGGTATGTGAATTATTCAACTGCAGTGCCAAAGACTAATTTAAAATAAGGTGCAACATATGAATGCAACAAGCAGAAAGTGGAAGTATAGGATGAATGAGAAGCACCAGAGTGGAAGGGAAACAACTGCACTGTCTATCCAACACACAGTCTGGTTTCACCCTTGGTTTTCACTGTTTATACAGGATTAGCTTTGGTTTTGTATTTATTTGTAAGAATTTCTGTTTTTTCACAAACTCTGTACCCCTTTTAAAATGAAGCATCTTAGTTGCAAATAAGAAATAATTCTAATTATTAGTGCTTCTTTCTGAAAACCAAGCAGCATTCCTATTTCGCTCCTCAATCTCAGCAGTTGACAGACAAAAGGAATGTTGCAGTGTCAATGCAGACAGCATAACTGGTATACATAGATCTTGTCCTCCACTGCTGTGATCATTTCCCAGGTAGCCTTTAACTTGCACAGATGAAGGTCTCTTCTCTGACTCTCTACTGGAAGGTAGAAGAGTATTGCATCAGCATATGAAAACCCCTACTTGGGCTGCTGTCTTTTCCCCCCTGTTGTTTACTTCAGAGGCCTGGTCTTTTCTGCACAGGAAGATCTGAAAGCAGTCGATAGTGGTACAGGATCAGCAAACTCCAGACTAGTCCTAGCTACTACCTCCAGAAGCAAGATAGCTGCACCTTTGCAGCGCTTATCCCAGGTCATTCAGCACATGAGAGAAGCATGGCTAACTACATCGGATGTGGCACCATAGTGACCCTGCCATCCTATCTTCCATCTCAAACCAGGGTCATTTAACTTGCACACAGAGTGGGCATACTTACAACCACTGAGTACACAGAGGAGAAACCCTGTACTCAAGTCGTAAACACTGCTTATCAACATGTGAATCCAGGTTCTGTCTGCCCAAGCAAATCTCTAGAATAGCTAGCACTCAAATACAGGGTTTATAAGTGAACTAATAACGGGTATTATTAGATACGATTTTAAACATCAGCAACTTACCAATCACAACTTTCAGCTTGGTGAAATTTTGAAGCAGAGGAATCACTATGAAAAAGAAACGAGAACAAAGTTACGAGAAATTGAGCCTGCAGCCCTCAATAGAGCAAGACTTCCAGTGCAGCCATCAAATAACTTGTCCAAGAGGAACTCCCCAAATGAGCAGGACCAGTGGAGTAAAAGCTGACTCCGGCTTTGCGGAGTAACCAATCCACACCCAGCAAACAAGACTCTCCCCCGGACACGGTGGACTGCAAGCCGCCGGGAAACGAGACAGAGGTTTTCCCTCTCCGGCCACTTTTGCAAAGCCTCCCGCCCGACTTGCCACGCACCTCAGCCTTTCGCCCCGGCCCGGGCCTCCGCCGCAGGCGGCTGCAGCACCCGGCGGTACTGGCGCCCGGTGTTCCCATGGCAACAGTACACACCATGGCCGCCAGGCCACAGGCGAAGCGCGGCGCAGCCGGCAGCGCGGCAGGAGGGGGCGGGCCCCTCACACACCTCCGCCGA